ATCCAAATCAACAGTATCTATATGACTATATAAAGGATCGTTGAAATTAAATAATATGCAAGAATCATATTGATAACAAAATGTATTCTAATCAATTTTAATATATCCAAAACAAAATCCACATAAATATTTTTTGTAAATTTACAATACATGAAAATATGTGAAACAAACTCAGGTTCTTCATTACATAATACACACATTTCATTCTCTGCTATTCTTCCAATTTCTGGCTTTTGTTTTCAATGGCAAGATATCCCAGAGAAATAGTTAAAATCAGTATTTTTAATAAGTAAACGAATAGCTCGCAGAGCCATGTGATTCATATGGAGGACAGAGCTATGATTGAGAGAGGCCGTGGTTTGCCATATATTTAGGCATTCTTCTCGGCTTTCCTCTACCCTTGGATAAATATGTAAATCCCATGCGCGGCGGTGTGGCTCAACGGGCTAAGCGTTAGGAATACGCTCGCCACCGCACCTCTAATTACTCTGCATGGGTCCGCAGGTTCGAATCCCATGCAGGGATGGTTATGTGCAGAAGGATTGCTGGACTCCTCGCCGCCGTTGGGTGATTCACGTAACCGCTGGTCGGTTACGGCTTCCTCCACCAACAAGTCCATGCTTCCGAAAACAAACAATATAACTAATCCCATGCCCGACTTGGAATGGTAACCGGACGAGAGGCCGTGGTTCGCCATATGGATAAGTCGTCTTATCGGCTTTCCTTTCCCCCGGGATAAATATGTAAATCCTTATCCTCATTATCCTAATAAATACATAAATAACCGCACCCCACTGGGCGACTGGTTCATATTCTGTACTGTAGCTACGTTTTCTGTCTAATAGATATGTATTCCCAATAAGCATATGCTCATAGTTGTATGCTTTCAGCGTACCATACTTCGAAACCCAAAACCAAATATGTATTGAAGAATTAAAGACCTCAATACGGTCAATTTCGCACCCGACTCGGCTGAAGCAAGGGATTTTGGCAGCGAGCAATGCGTTTTCTTAATATGCAACGAACCATTTAGCCGGACGACGTAAAAAATGCAGGGAACAATACCAAAATGAGCAAATCTTTGCAAGTTTCCACTCATTGTATATATGCTCATTGTGTGCATACATCCCGTCTTCAGTATTTATAATTACTTACTCTTTTATATTGCTTTTACGAGACGAATAAACATACATACATGAGGAACACTTTAAAATCATTTTCAGGTGCGCTACGAAACTGAAAGATAAATGGCCTCGGCTCGAGGCCTAAAGATTGGTTTTCGACAAAGTCGAAATTCACAAAGGTCACGATATCGAGAAACAAAACAAATGACGTCAAAATCACCAGTGCAGTGAAGTAAACACATTACTGTACTAAACTTCTTCGGAAAACGGCAAAAATCTCTGAGAGTTTAAAAAAGCCTAGCAAAAGGTACTAAGTCTGATATCAAAGCAGTATGAACTTTAGGAGTGTATCGATACTGATATATATTTCAAGATTAGTCAGACGTTTGTCCTGCCGGCAATCACAAGTTAAAGTCCCCCGTTCAATAAACAAAGCGCAGAAGTGGGCGTTTCTGCACCATTTTTTTGTGTTATTCGTCGAGCTGCCGAGTGGCAAGTGTTTTGAACTTGAATATTTGTAACTGCAGAACTGGAAGAAAGGTTGGAATAATATTGCATTTAATAGATACCGGTACATTGTTCAGAAGCTCTTCAGCATACCTTTACTGTAAATTCTGAAATTGCAGATTTAGGTATCAACCGATTTTTTTAAACTAAAAAAAGGAGTAGACCTGATGCTTTGAGAGTGTTGTTCAGTCTGTCAGTTTAGCACCGTTAGGCCTAATATTTATCATTATTAGTCATTAAAGGACATTTAATTTGTTTTGTTGAAATAATGTAAAGTCTGAACTCTGAATGCATAGTCTTTGATATATGAACAAAAACCGTTTGATAAGAATTTTATATGAAATGTCTGAATGTTCTATTTATAGAACTTTTTTGTGTATCACAAATAAGCTGCTACAGAGGACAAACTTATGAGAAGACTGACAACATTATTATGGGCCATAAACATATATGGGCCTACATGTTTACGTGTGATTAGTCAGTTAGTGTTTTCCTGATAATTGTTTTTATAATTAATTGCCTGAGCGCAGAATTTACCAGCATTGTTTTGATTTGTTTATATGTATCTTGATTCGCTGTATCACATTGTCATCAATGCCAAATCAATGTAGTTTTCATGGTTTTTGACCTTTTCGTCACCTTATCACATTACATTACACCTACTTACGTTGTCATTGTATCAGATCCAATTGGTCCTTATTAGCCTGAGTATTTTAAAAGTGAACAACAGCCCGAATGTTTATTACATTTGCGTATTTTCTGTATGTTCATTTTTGGCCCAAGCCTTGTTTAACAAAGTTTGTGTTTTTTTTTTTGTGAATGCGTGTTGGTGAACGGGCACATGATACTCATCTTGTTTTAAACTTTTTTAAAGATTTTGCGCGCTCTCCAGAATTCTCCATTTTTTATTTGTTTGTATTGTCAGATTGTGGAGTTTTCAAAATAAACTATCTATCTATCCACATATGGGCAACAATTTTTCAACATGTCTCCTTGAACTTGTAATCTAAGGCAAAATCAGCGTCCAAACTTTTTTGGTAACAAAATACTGGTGCGGCGGTGTGGCTCAACGGGCTAAGCGTTAGGAATACGCTCACCACCGCACCTCTAATTACTCTGCATGGGTTCGCAGGTTCGAACCCATGCAGGGATGGTTATGTGCGAGAGGATTGCTGGACTCCTCGCCGTCGTTGGGTGGTTCACGTAACCGCTGGTCGGTTACGGCTTCCTCCACCACCAAGTCCATGCCTCCGAAAACAAACAATATAACTAATCCCATACCCGACTTGGAATGGTAACCGGACGAGAGGCCGTGGTTCGCCATATGGAAAAGCCGTCTTATCGGCTTTCCTCTCCCCCGGGATAAATATGTAAATCCTATCCTATCCAGATAACCGTTATATGTGAGGCAAAGTGCATCTGTGAATATTTTCAAACATAATTTGGATAAATACAGAGATTCCCAGGTGTCCAACCCAAGGACACTTGAACAATACTGAGAATTGTCAAAATGATATTGGAGAGAATTAGATAGTCTGGTTTTCGACATCTGTGTATTAAATGGGTTAGCAATACTATTGGGTAATTGTCTAAATGTCCTTTCCAGTGCATTTACTAGTCATAATTTGTCTATTCATAATTGTAGTACGGTAATTGCCAATTTTTGTGATACATTGTTGTTAATACAGTGTTATAGATCAGTGGTTCCCAACCGCCGGTCCGCGGACCGGTGCCGGTCCGCGAAGCTTTTTTGCCGGTCCGCAAGAAGTTTTGTTGTTTTGTTGTTTTTATGCCGTTTCAATCGCTTTACCGTAGGCAAAGTTGCGTTGGCTCATTACGCAGTTCTCTTCTGCCGTCATATTACGACATCTTTCGCGACATGTTGGCGCCGTATTACGCGACATCTTGGCGCCGATCACTCACACTTTTCGCTTTTCCAGCTCCGATTCATCGCGAATGCGCTCCATCAAATCTCGCAAAATTAAGAAGCCTAAAAATCGGCACGCGTGCCTTTACTGTTCTGCGTGCTTTTCCTGATTAATATGACCATTCATATGAAACGTAATGGATATCTCCTTGTTTAAACTAGAAAACAGTCAAGAACAGTATAATAATCCAGTAAGATATGAACTTGTTGCGACCCCACAGGTGGTCACGCGATACACGCAAAAAAAGCACGAGCCGCAGAGATCTTTTCCAGACACAGTAGGATTTTGAGCTTGTCGCCAAGTTATCGACGACTTTGTCATTGTAATGCAAATTCATTCCGTTTGAGGCGTCGATTAACTGCAGAGGGATTAATATTATGAACCCAATGAAAAAGAAAAGGCTTGATTAAAATTGTGATTCTTCTTTACAGTCCAGATTGAAAAAGAATTACTTATCACAATTTTAGATATCTCTTGATAACGAATACCCATCGCCAAGTAATCGAGCAATCAAACTGTGGTCCGTCTTTTCAGCCAGTTACTGCGTTATGCGAAAAAACATTCTCATCACTCGATTCAATTAAAACCTCACTTTGATTAAAACGAGGCAAGGAAATCGGCTGCACGCGGCTGCAGAGCTATGTGTTGCAAAAACTTCTTTGCCTCGTTCGCAATCTTGTATTGGAAACGAAACAGCAGCAAAATTCTCACAGAAGTTAATTGTGCATTATTTTAATGTGAGAATTTAATGCGTGCCTTTCTCACGCATAATGGGTGCCCAGCACTGCATTTCATTACGCAAATATATGGTATTATTTTATGTTTCACTCATTTTTAATTTTTGGTCGACACATTATTTGATAGTTATTCTTCGTGTGAAATGTTTTAAAGTGTGCTTTTTTGTCTAGAAGCATATTGAGTGCCCGACATTGCATTATAAGACGCAAATATATGTTATTCTTTTCTGTTACGGCCATTTCAATTTTTGCCGGTCCGCGAGTACATTTAATCTAATTTTACCGGTCCGCCAGGGTAGAAAGGTTGGGAACCGCTGTTATAGATGTTTATACTGCGGTATATTTATATTGTATATTTTGTAGTTGTTCTAGGTGTGATACCTGAAGAGGTATTATTATTAGTTATCACTGCCATAATTGAAATTTATTGGAGGCCCACTAGAAAACGCTCGACGGCCCACAATTGGACCGCGGCACACAGTTTACCGACCATAATAATATAGATCAGAATTAATGCTTAAAACAGAATTTGTCACCATTACCACAGTGTGAGAAAGGTAAATCATTTTAAGGAGAGAACAGCAAAAACTAGCAAGCTCCTGGTTAAATATAAAAATCTACCCTTAAAACTAATTTCAAAACACATGTTCGTTTCTTGATTAAAAATCAACTTTCTTATTATCAATTTTCTGTATTTAAAGCTTATAGTACAATATTTACGAGAGATACTACTTTATTTTGTTGCATTATGGCTCAATGTCCTGCTGGCTTATATTCAAGGCTTGATCAAGCTGTTGAACCAGAGGGTGGAACAGCAAGCCCTCAACAGAGTCAGGTTACTTTGCCACCCCAGCAGGCAACGAATACGTCAACCCCTCAGACGCATCTGAGAGAAAAATACAAACTTGTTTTGTATCGATTTGGAGTTACTGAAATTGTTCTTGGCGTTTTATCTGTCGTTTTGTGCATCGTGACGTTGATCATCGCAAGCACAAAGAAGACTTATGTCTATCATAGTACTTGGAATAACAGAACGTACGATTACAGAATTCGTTATAGCGTTACGTATGCTTCTCACGGAATATGGTGCGGCGGTGTTGTAATTGCATCTGGAATTCTTGGATTCAAAGCTAGAGGAAAACCTTCCGTTTGTTTTTATAATGCGAATATGGCGGTCAGTATTGTAGCTTCTTGCTTCACGGCTACACTTTGTATAATGTCTGCGATATGTGCTGGAGACACTTACCCACGTAAAGGGAACGGTGGAATCATTGCCATTCATTCTATTATGGCTGTCATTGGATTTGCTGGGATGAATATCTGTATCATTCATTCAGCATATTGTTGCGCTGGTGTCTGTTGCCGCAAAAAACCTCAAGGCGTGGTTGTATACGCAGCTCACCCTGCTTATCCACAACAACAAATGGTTCAGCTCGCAAACGGCCAATTCATTATGATACCTGCTCAAGGATATGTGCCAGGAACTTCATATTACCCCGGTGCACAAATGCCTCCTCAACCAGGAGTGGCCGTTCCTCCGTACCCGCAGACACCAAACTCTCAAATGACAAAAGAACAAGAAGCTCAAGCGAACCAGAACCCGCCAGAATATACAGCTCATGCATCACATAATCCTTCTGTATAAGAGATTTTCAAACATTTTGTCTTGAAGCCGTAAAGCTGAAGTATTCCATACCTCGGAAAACATTTTGAGTTTCGTCTACTCCGGTATAATTCGACCTCGTAAATTTATAATCAATGGAGCATGAAGAATCATCAATGACAATTCCTTATTGGAATGTGATTATTCTGACCCGTCACAGTTCATTGAGTTTTATGGTTGAAGAGTTGAACAGTAACAGTATCAAGGTAGACATTATCAAACTTTTATAATAATAGCCGGTATAAATATAAGCCGACCCAACTTGGCAACTTTTCGAGTTTCAAACTCATCTTATATGCCAGGATATAATATGTCTTGAAATTGAAAAAAAAAAAATATGGTTTTCCATAATATTGTGTTGTTTTTATCAACGTCCTTTTTTTTAGATTATATGAAGTGAAAATGTAAACCAAACGAGACACCGTTAAAAAAATGAATCATGAATATAGATTTTCTATTTTGCCACCTTAAAAATTATTGCACCCTCTCTCAGATTGCCCAATACGCGAATAAAAAGTATCGCTAATTAAATAATTGTTCATTTTTTTACCTTTTTGTAAATACGCTAACAACACAGCTGCCAAATTATGAAAAAAGGCACGAATGGACTTTCAAGTTTTCATTTCAAGAGACACCCTAGAAGAATTTGTGCTAGCAATTCACAGTGTACATGGAGTATTGACATAAATCGGGAGTGTGCAACCTGTGGCCCGCGGGCCAAATGCGGCCCATAAGTTAAATGTTGCGGCCCACAAGACAAGAATTTAATTTAGTTTGATAAGTGCGAGTGATTCCCTTTGCATTGCAAAGCCTATACTTGAGTCCAATTCATTATCTATGCCTATGACGTAACAATGCCCTAACAGCTAGCATGTGCGAAACGAACAACGCGTGTCATAAGATCAATACCCAACATATTTTGTGTCTGCCACTACTAGAAAGTCTTATGTTAAATAAAGGTGCGGCCCGTGGTTATTCGTATCTGTCCCTTCTCTATTAAAGGTTGCACACCCTTGACATAAATTGTTTAAGTCTTGCTCGGTAATTACTAACACACAATTCTTCGCTATCATTCCTTAAAGTCTAAGAAGATTTTGGCGTTTCAGTGAGTGCATGTTGGCTTAGGCTATTAACTAAATGTTCATATTTTTACTCTACTTTTGTAAATACACATATTGCATTATAATTTTATTTGTTGATTTCAAACACAATTGCATGACATGACCACAGTTATACTCTCTAAACTTATATTGCTGTCTATGTTCCACTCGAATACATAAATTTTATTTTTTTAGTGCAATAGTAAATACAAAGTGAAAACGTAGTTTCATTTATAAAATCTTACCGGTTCTCTTGGTTGGTTATTCAATGATCTGCGGTTGCCATGGCTATTGCGGCCTGTCGTCTCTGATGTCGTTTTCTTTCGCCTCCTCTAACACTGAAATGCATTTTTTTTTCTTTACCAATTATGTTTGTCCAATGTCTACTTTCGGTCTGTAATAAAATAAACTAACTGACTGACAGGTTTCATTTTTTTTTCTGTTACTTGAAATTAAATGAAGGCATATTTTCATGTTTTCAAGTAAACCATCCTGAATTCTTTCTAAAACCAAAAATTTTCGAACTATTCGTTCTGTAGATCCCCCCGGTTCTTGTTACCTGATTTTAGTTGGAATAAATGTTTGAAACACATTTTAAAAGCACTCGTCATAGCTGTTATTCATCCAAATTCGTGACAATAAAACTAAGGTAATATTAAGTTGTTTGACATGGAAAAAGGTATCTAATTCGAAATTTATTTTCCCATCTGTGTTTGAATTGAACCGCTTTAAGCCTTGGGATAACTGACAATTGCTAGAACAAATTGCACCAGAAATCTAATGTAGAATCACAATCTTTTTAACTTCTGAGTAAGTGATTTTGCTTTGAAAAAGTTCGCTTAAAAAATCTGACTTGTTGCCTCTATCAGGGATTACCAAAACCCTTGATTTCAGTGATTATTGAAAATTTTTTTTTTTTCAAGTATCATTTCACATACAGGGTGCCCCAAGAAAGCAGAACCTATAAATTTTTTACTCCTACAAAAATAAAGATTTTTTTTTAAATTTTTTCTATTCGTGTATGATTGTACCTTAAAGTTTCAGTAAATCTAGAACGCTACACAAAAATTATTTTCCCTCTAAAACAGTGGTTCTCAAACGGTCGGGCGCATCCCGCAAGAGGGGGTGGAGAATTTTTAAAATAGGGGAAAAAGCTAATAAAAAATAATTGTTAATTGAGGCTTGCCTTATTTTGAATATTTACATTTCTTTATTTTGGATATTTACGTTCCATTCACATATTTTCAATGTGTTTTTGGAATAAAACATATTTTCGCCCTATTATTATTTGTTATTTGTAGCTTATTGTTAGTTAGTTATTTTTGAAGTGGGGCGCGTGACCTGACAATTCCTAAAAAGGGGCGTGGCTTAGAAAATTTGAGAACTAATATTCTAGAACAGGGCTGGCAGACCGCGGTCCGTCCGGGCCTTCTGAGTATATTAGTATTGAATTCGGACCGCACCTACCGTATTTTCCGGCGAATAAGACTACCCGGCCAATAAGACGAGGCCTGTTTTTGGCACCAAAAAAAGGGGTTTTTCCGTGTATTCGTCCAATAAGACGAGTAAGAAAATCGCAACCCTGCGTCTCCGTTCGACAGTTAGCAAAAAAGCGCACTATTATTTTTAACCGATTCTGTTGTTGTATTTTTCAGTTACGCGCTAATGCTCTCTCATTTCATCGATTACTTTTGCTCGTGATGCACACACAAATGCGACGCCATCTTGGCGACTTATACTCTGCTCGTGATGCACACGCAAATGTGGAAACTTCAAATACAATAATTAAAAAGCGTTTATATTCCAGATTTACCAAGCGAGAACGCCTATTCATCAAACTAAACTGTCGGGGAGGGCATATTATCGCTCGCAAGATATTTCATGGTCCTAATTGCAGAATAAACTGACATCGAAAAAAATCAATATTACCATATTCGCCCAATAAGACGACCCCCCCTAAATCAGGCCAAAAAATTTAGGTCTAGAAAATCGTCTTGTTCGCCGGAAAATACGGTAATTCATTATTTTGGATCATTAGCCCCACTTTTTAAGTTTCCTTTTATAAAATGACTTTTATAGTTTTGAATTTGTATGAAAAGCACTATAACTAGGGCTGGGCATTTCGAATCGAATAGTAAATTATTCGAATCAGTTAAGAGCAATATTCCGAATAATCGCCATCTTGTTTTACTCTTTTCGCCAATGGTCGAGGTAAATTTCCCAATTTTTTTTCATTGAAGCCATATTTTTTCAACACAATTCTGACATATGACTCTTTTCTGTATTGAGGTATTGATGAAAACGTGTTTTTTTATGGTCAGTGATGTATTCTATGTTTTCAGTAATTTATGTGTATGGAGGACCTAAAATGATAGGAAAGTTACATACAATTTCAGACCTTCCAAGTATTCAAGATTCGATTCGAAAAAATTATTCGATTCGATTCTGAAATCATCAGGTATTCAAAAATGCCCAGCCCTAACTATAACACCATAATAAACAATTTCAATTTGCTAATAATCATTAGCTGGTCGAGGAAGTACGCGTTTTAAGGATGCCGAAATATTATTTCTGGAAAGACCGGACCCAATTAATTTTGAAGTTTTGTATGCGGATCTTCGTTAAATATAGTTAGAGTAGCCCTGTTCTATAATGGTCCAAGCAATCCGGGTTCTCATTTTTGGGTTTCCCGGTATTTGATAAGGAAAGATGTCTGAACAATGCCAAATTATTTCTGTTTGAATATGTTGTTTTTACAAAACCATGTATTTGAAATTTACTGATTTTAATAGATTTCTCTTCATTGCATTGAAATTGCAAATATTTTAAATTTACTCTCTCATAGATTATTGCAGTGAAGTTTTAATTTTTTGTAAATTTCATGAAAAATGTGTTTTGATATTTTATGATTTTAACTCACAGTAGATTGTGGTTTACATCGGCGTATACTTTTCGTAAATTTGCCTTTGATTCATCACCATAGCTTTCTTTGTATATTTTTAGGTTTCAACACTTTAGATTATCTTTTGGACTTATAAAGTAGATACAACAATTGGGATTTCGAATCGATTACCGTAATATTCAAATCTGTTGAGATGAAAATTTCTAATTGCCGCCATATTGTTTTTTGACATATGACTTTTTCTTTCTTGTGAGGTAATGTTGTGTGTGAACGCTCAGCAAACTGAGTGATAGTTTCTATGTTTTCAGTAATTTATGTGCTTAGAGAACCCATCACAATGAAAAAGACACATATAATTGAATATATTCCAAAGTCCATGTAAATATTTAAAAGTGGAATGATTGCTGACTTTAATTAGAAACGAAAAAAAATCGCGACTGAACTATGAAAAGACTTGTGAACCTTTCACTTCAGAGTGCTTCAGTACAGGGTGTCCATAAAGTTCTTTACAATTTCAATTCTGTTAGGAAGTCAGTTTTCAATATATCGTAACCAGGTTTGTTGTTTTTTAATCAGTAATTGTTTAAGGATTTTTAGTGCAATTGATACATATGTGAAGGCCAAAACAATATATGATAATAAAATTTCAAGACTTTATGGATGTCCTATATATTAAAAATAACCAATTTCAAATTTATTTTGACTATTTGGGTTGGGATGAGTATCCCTTGTTCGAAAATTTTTAAACAAACAATTTTCTTATCATGTGATAGTCGATGACTCTGATATCGTCATGATAATCATCTGCACCATTGCCATTCCTTTCTCCTTTTACTCATGTGACAGGGCAATCAGTGTCGGCCAATGACATCAGCAGTCCTATGATGTTCAATTTCAAGAACGAAAACCTTTTCTCACCAAAAATTCTATTTCTATGTTAGGGCCAATGTTAAATTAAATTCAGTATACATATTTCATGCTTGGCCAATGCATATGTAATTTAACTTGTTTTTTGGAAATACCTAATCAATAATTTTATCACATGACGGACATTAGTCTTGGCAACCGATACTGCGGTATTGAAAACTTATAGCATTTACTTTCTCTATATTTTATAGTAGGCTCGGAAATCTACCGTCAGGTTTTCTGCTATTCCAAATACAATCTCACAAAGAAATTTTTTAATTTATTTTGCATATTCGCGCATATTAGCCCACTCCATAAAACGGTGAATTTATAAAAATTTGTATATAAGCCGACCCTACAAATCGTGACATGCTGTTCGCCATGATCTCCAACATTGCCATTCTTTTCTCCTTGCACTCATGTGACTGGGCAATCAATGTCAGCCAATGAGATCGGCAGTCAGCAGTCAATTCCAAGAACATAAAATTATGGTGAATTTAAAAGTCTTCTACCATGTTAAATTATATTTAGTGTAACTATTTCTTGCATGGTCAAAGCATATGTAATTTAACTTATTTTTTGGAAATACCTAGTCAATAATTTTATCACATGACGGGCATGAGTCTTTGCAGCCAATACTGTGGTAATGCAAATTTATAAAAATGCATTTGGTTTAGGTTATATTTCATGTCAAGTTTTCTGCTATTCCGAATACATTCTGAAATACTTCAAATCAGATCATGTTTTTCAACAAAGAAATTGTGTACATATTATTCGACAAGTATTGAGAATGAAATGTGCTTTCTATTCCAAATATATTCTTATATAGGCGCTCCCAAAATATGGGAACCAAGTTGGGGGACACCTGAACTTAGTATGTCTACCAGGTTAGAGTTAGGCCATAATTTTATTTCTATTACGAGTTTGTTGAAAAGCCAAATGACCCCCGTTGTATTTCTACCTGAAATTATGGCCTAATCTCAACCTGGTTCACATACTTGGTTCACATATTTTGGGTGTACGCTGGATGATATTTTCATTTCACATTATGCTATATTGACAGATTTATTGTAATATTGTTTGTGTTCAAAAACTATTTTTGTAAATTGTTTGGGTGTACGCTGGATGATATTTTCATTTCACATTTTGCTATATTGACAGATTCATTGTAAAATTGTTTGTGTTAAAACACTATTTTTAAAAATTGAACGAAAAATACTTGATCGGGAATACCTAATCAATAAATTGTGGTTCTATCACATGACGTTCGTTCGTCAATACACACAACCAATACTGCAGTAGTGAAATCCGATTGCGTTGCGTTTTTCTTTTTCACCGCAGACTAAATATTATAATATAATCCACAAGGGAATATTTGAAATTTAATAATGCGATTCACATGCAATATAGAGAAATTGGAACTAATTTTAAATTAAATTTTCCAAATTTATGAATATGTGTCTTTTGGCTTGAATAAGATTACTGTTATAAAATACCTTTTTTTGAAGACAAAAAGCCTTGATTTTGGTAATATCAATTCATAGAAATTGTCCAGTCTCGTGTTAATAGTCATAAGTCTTGTGACTTGTATTAGAACAGCGTTTCCCAACCCTTTTTGGTCGCGGACTATTTTCTCGTTGAAAAAAAACGTTTGCGACCCGCAGTGAATTTCTGGCTCGTTGCGGACTCATTCAAACGCTCCGCGGACTCATTTGAGACCGCGGACTCGGGTTGGGAAACACTGTATTAGAATCACGAGTTTTCAATTTGTTTTATTTATCATGCTCGCCTCAGGGCATATGGAAAATTATAGTTAGTTCAAGTTGCTTTAAAAGTAACTGCAAACTACTGGCTGACATGGTCTATAAACTGGATAAGAAGTTTGTTATTTGAATGAGCCACGGGGTAAATATCGTATCCTCTGAGAAATTTCTAAAGGAGTGGTTTCCAATCCTTTTATTTATCGTTGCTTCCTTCAGGAGGCTATTAGCTCTCATGTTCCCCTTGTTTATCATTACAGTGGTATTCATAGTGTTATTTTGATTGATAGATTCCAAATCCTATCATGTTCGAACAATTTATGCACAAAAAAGTGAAAACACCTTGTGAAATAACCTTGTCAAGCAATAAAACTAGGAGAAACGGGTGAACGAGTTTTCTGTGAAGTGAAAAGTAAAATCAGTCTTGTTTGGGAATCAATGGAATTTAGAAATAAAATTATATTCAAAATGAAAAAAGAACTGTTCATTTGATCATGCCTTCTTATTCTTCCAACCCCCCCCGATTAAATATGAAAATCCTATCATGTTTTGTAGTTAGAATTCCATAGGTCTACCAGTCATTTTATTTGCTTTTTTTATGCCGACTTTTTGTATTTTAATCTTTTATGTATATTTGTAACATCCAATATATGATTAGCTTATAAATTGCATTTCATTTTTAATCCTGCTTCCCAAAGTTAATTATTGCATTGCAATAATTTCATTTTTCATTTCTAGATTGTTGCCAGATTTAATATAACTATAATATACTACCTGCCTAAAATACAACTAGTATAATAATAACAGCTGCAAGAAACTGGCAACCATCATCTCTCTCGCACGAATCAGTAGTTGCTCACAGCCTGCCCATCAATACTGCAGCTGTTTCGAGTCGCATACCATTCACTATCTGCAGACTTCTTTGTCACGAGGAAACTTTAATTTACTTAGAATTTCGGTCAACGTCTTGGGATTTACAAGCAACAGTTACACCAAGCAATTTGAAACTCCAGCGCAGAATTCTGTAATGCCAACTGCAAATGTTCAACCACAACAACAAGCTCCAGTTATGTTGGCACAAACTCAACCACAAGGGGCAGCAATGGGTCAACTCAAACCACGGAAAAAATACAAAAATGTTCTGTTTTATCTTGGAAGCGTGGAGATCATTTTAGCGGTACTCTGCGCCATTTTTTGTGTTGTGACCCTTATTCTGGGAGCGATAAATTCCTCCTATATTGGCCGTGACTTTTGGAATGATCGAATCGGTGAATATAGAATCACATACGGCACCAATACGGTGGCACAGGGAATATGGTGTGGCGCTGTTCTCTTAGTATCTGGCATCCTGGGATTAAAAACTAAGCACCATACATCACCGTGCATGTACCGGGCTAATATGACTTTCAGTATTTTGGCAGCAATTTTTATGTTGTTTCTAATCGTTTTGTCAATTGTGAGTATCTTCACGGTTTATCCTCGGTCATATAATTACATAGTTATGCCTTTCCATATTATCCTTGCCATCCTTGGATTTATAGGCATGATAATCTGTATTACCCATGCAGCGTTTTGCTGTGCTGGAATTTGTTGTCGAAATAAGCCCCGTCAAATTAATGCAACTTACGCAGCACAACAAGGTCAAATGGTGCAACTCGCAAATGGTCAGTATGTAATGATGCCACAAGGTTGCCAACCTTCAGGAGCTATGTGTTATGAACCTACGACTGTGTCTGCCCAGGCTGGGGGAGCCCCCACAATGCAGTATGCACCACCCCCCATGCCCACCCAGACTGGAGCTCTTCCCCAAGGGCAGTACGCACACGCTCCCATGGCTGCTCAAAGCTCTGTAGTATTTCCCACCGGACAATCATCTCAGCAAGCTGTAGCTCCTTATCCCACAATGCCTACACAACCATCAATAACCAAAGATCAAGAAGACCAGATGAGCTCAAATCCTCCAGAATATACTGAGAAGTAATTTTCAAAAATGTTCAAAGTTTTTTTCAAAAAATATTCTGAACTGGGAACATCTATATAGTAATGCATGCATAACTGTAAGAAGCAATCCATATACCGTATATCCTCGGAAAAAAGGGGATCTGGAATATACCTGAAAAATCATATCTTTTGCTACCAATACTGCGTTATCGTCACATTTGGCATAATAATACTGTTTACTATGTCCGAATATATCTAAAATTTTAATTTTGCTGGCAATAAATTCTGATTTCAATCAATAGTACATTATCACCATATCTGCCATATGTTATTGTTTCCCATGGTGCGACAATAATATATATAATTACGGTAATATTAATTTCGAAAACTTAAAATCTAATTGGTTTTATTAAATCACGAAAACAGTATTTTATACAAATCTTACTTTTGATGCAAATAGTACATTATTCCCATACTTGCCATGAGATTAGCTTTTTACATTTTTTTTAAAATTTCAATCAGCAATTGCCAGCTATCGGTATATACAGTATTTTCTTTATACTCATCATATATTTATATATATAATCGTCATACTTTTTGATGCAAATAGTACATTATACCTATACTTACCATATCATTAGCTTTTCTACCTTTTTTAAAATTTCAATCAGCAATTGCCATCTATCCGTATATACAATATTTTCTTTATACTCATCATATATATATAATCATCATGCTTTTTGTTGCGGATAGTACATTATCGCCATGCTTTCCATACGCCTCTATGCCAGCGGTTCCCAAAGGCATCATTCCCCTCGACCCCCGCCCTCACGATTTGTTGAGTTCGCCCCGAAAATTAAGAGAATCAGTAATCAGCAGTTTATTTTATCACCACATTGAAAATACACATTTTACATACAAAATCAGAAAAAAATGAAAAGTTGCAATTCCGTTGTGAAAGGAGTCGCAATAAACCAGAATTGGTTATCGAGCAGCGAAACCTGTGAAATGAAATACTCTGACATTAAATTATACAAAAGTAAAAGTAGAAATGAAAAGTTCATTGAATCACGATAAGAGTAAGAAGTTGAACACCAAATACTAACACAAATCGCTTTAACATATGAATATATTTGCGAGATCGGATATTTCCTGAAACACTGGAAGAAAACAACTCCTAGCGCCAACAGACGGATAGCCAATGAAGGCATTTGATGTCGTGGGCTAGTTGTAACTGAATGCAAGATACCGTGCTGAGGCATGGTTCTTGAATGAAATAGTGTTAAACATGACTAATATATTATTGAATATTTCACATATTATGAATGTTTTATTTTTTTTATTTCAAATGTTGTGTAGAACTATATGAATTAATAATTAATTTTACCTACCATGTCGTTCACTACACACAAGTAGTATCTTTTTTTTTCACGTAAGTGCCATGTGAGTTTTTTCTCTGATAATTTGGCGCGTCACTTTGGGGACCGCTGCACTATTTTTTAATCTTGTCAGGAATAGTATGATTTATTCAGTGCAATAAAACAGTGTTATTTGTATTTCTTATACAGTTACTGCAGTCATTTACAATGATGGTGTTTTAGCAATACATCAATTTTTTTATTTGAAAAGTTTATGAATAATATAAATCGATTTTGCTTGTACTAAATCATAGGTTCTCAACCTTTATTTTCTCATTTACCTCTTTGCAATTTCAATATCAAGGTACTCATGTAGTATGTGAACCAAAATGGCAGACACCGAAACGTAGTATGTGTACCAGGTAGGCACAAAGACTACGAGAGTAACTTGGCTAGTCCCCGGAACTCTTAATAGAACTGAAAAAGGGAAAATTGGAATAAAATTGAGTCCTAACCCTAACCTGGTACACATACTACGTTCCGGTGCGCAATCTTGGTCTTCATACTACGGAGCGCATTTTTTTTTATATTTTAATTTCTACAAATACCTACGAATAAGCTGCATTCGATCATGTAAGATGTATTGGGAGTGATAACAGAACGACTTCTTACTTTTTTTAATAAGTTTCTCTCTCTGCCCGTTTAAGATCTCTCCATTCCCCCCATTATACATACAAACTTCGTTTCCAAAGGAGAGAAACAAGTACCCACAATTTTTTTTATATTTTTAAAATACCTATGACTAAGTCAGCGGTTCCGACCTTTTTTCAATAGAGTCTCTCCTATGCCTATTTCAAATTTCTTTATTCTCCCCATTATGCATGAAAACTAATTTTTCGTTATTTTTACAATCCTAAAAGTTCCTAAGGTCACACACAGCTCTTGCTTTCACATAATTTGAACAGTTTAAAACAGTGGTTCTCTAATGGTGGGGTGTAGACAATTCTTGAGGGGGCGAGAAGCTTATTTAAAATTAAAATTATTTGGTAGATTTGATCTTGCCTGCCTTATTTTGGATATTCAAATTTAAAAACTTTCCATTTACCATATTCCATCATTTACGTTCCATCCACGTGCAAAAAACATACTTTAGCTATGCTATCTGTTATTCGTCGCTTATTGTTACCTAGTTATTTTTGAGGGGGGGGGGGGACAAATTCTAAAAAGGGGGTGTGGCTTTAAAAGTTGGAGAACCACTGCTTTGTAAAGGTAATTCATACGTTGCAATAATTTCATTTTTCATTCCTAGATTGTTGCCAGATTTAATATAATTATAATATACTACCTGCCTAAAATAGCACTGGTATAATAATAATAGCTGCAAGACACTGGCGATCATCGAACCAGAGAGTTCATAAAGAAATTACAAGAAAGATGTTATACAGGGGATTAAATAAGTGTTTGCTCTCAACGGTTATCTACATCTCTCTTGAAAGGAATAACCTATAAAGAACTCCTAGCCAAACCCAGTGGTTGCTTATAACTTTTCTACCCCTAATCTTGCCAGTTGTTTGAGTCACGTACCAACTACTATCGGCAGACTTCTTTGTTGTATGGATATACATTACGCAAACTTTAATTTATAGTATGAGTGGCCAACCTGCTTTTGACCGCGATCGACTGAAATCTTCAAAATAGCTTGCGATAGACGGATCGACAATAAGGTCATACACAAAATCAAATGAGTACCGAATATGCAGAAAACTGCACACACGCATATAAAAAGCTCCCACCTCTGCCAATAAGCTCGATGGTTCTGTGGGCGCATTCTATGAAATCGCCAAAAAAATTTGCATTTTTTATGTTTCATTCAATTTGATCATGTGATCGTACCCCAAGTAGATCTTTATCTTTCAATATAATTTATTCGAATCATACAATTCAGATCTAATGAAACTGGAAAGTATGCGAACCAAGATGGCGGACATCGGAACGTAACAGGTTAGGGTTAGGCCATAATTTTTTTCCAATTTTCCTTATTTTAGTCCTATTATCAGTTCGAAGACTAGCCAAGAGCCTCCCGTAGTATTTATACCTAAAATTAGGGCCTAACCCTAACCTAGTACACATATTACATTCCGATGTCCGCCATCTTGGTTCGCATACTTCGGGAGCCCCATAAATTCACTTATCATCAGACATGATCGACTCCTCGAGATGCGGCGATAGACTAGTCGACAAGTTGGCCACCCCCTATTTATAGCTTCAACTTAGTATTTTAGTTCACGAATCAGGACCTAAAAACAATTAAACATCTTCGTTTCAGGGGTGCTTACAACTCTTCAATCCGTTTCTTTCCAACCTTTAGTTAACAGATTGGGACCTTACTTTGAGAGAAAGAATAAAGCATTTGTATTCCAGTGGTGCCTGGAACTTTTTATCAGTACCACCAACTTCAGTTGATGGTTGGAATACTGATAACAAGTTTATTTTGATTCCATAATCAGCATATTAAACCATAAACTAATTGAATAATTTAATTTAGCTTAGGCTTGAGAGCTTATTCTGAACATATATAGAAAGATACGATATCATGGCTGCGAATCCAGGCACCAGTTACCCCAAGCAATTTGAAACTCCAGCACAGAATACTGTAATGCCAACTGCAAATGTTCAACTACAACAACAAGCTCCAGTCGGACAAGTTATGTTGGTACAAACTCAATCACAAGGGGCAGCAACGGGTAAACTCAAACCACGGAAAAAATACAAAAATGTTCTGTTTTATCTTGGAACAGTGGAGATCATTTTAGCGGTGCTCTGCGCCATTTTTTGTGTTGTGACCCTTATCCTGGCAGTGAGAAATTCTTCCTATCTGTACCAAAACTTTTACAATGATCAATACTATACCTATAGAATCACAAATGGCACCAATGCAGTGGGAGACGGAATATGGTGCGGCGCTGTCCTTCTAGTATCTGGCATCCTAGGAATTAAGACGAAGCACCATACATCACCGTGTATGTACCGGGCTAATATGACTTTCAGTATTTTGGCAGCAATATTTATGTTGATTCTAATCGTTTTGTCAATTGTGAGTATCGCCACGGTTTATCCTCGGTCATATAGTTACATAGTTATGCCTTTCCATGTTATCCTTGCCATCCTTGGATTTATAGGCATGATAATCTCTATTATCCATGCAGCGCTTTGCTGTGCTGGAATTTGTTGTCGAAAAAAGCCCCGGCAAATTAACGTTGCTTACACTACTCAACAAGGTCAAATGGTGCAACTTGCAAATGGTCAGTATGTAATGATGCCACAAGGTTGCCAAACATCAGGAGCTATGTGTTATGCACCCACAACTGTGCCTGTCCAGGCTGGAGGAGCCCCAACAATGCAGTATGCACCACCTCCCATGCCCTCCCAGGCTGGAGCTCTTCCCCAAGGGCAGTATCAACACGCTCCCATGACTGCTCAAATTGGAATACCCTCCGCACCAGCCCCCATGTCTTCCCAAAGCTCTGCAGTATTTCCCACCGGACAATCATCTCAGCAAGCTGTAGCTCCTTATCCCACAATGCCTACACAACCATTAATAACCAAAGATCAAGAAGACCAGATGAGCTCGAATCCTCCACAATATACTGAGAAATAATTTTGAAACGTTCAAAGTTTTCAGCTGAAAATATTCTGAAGTGGGGAGATATACATATAGCATATATGTGTAGATATATATATTTAGTAATGCATCCATATCTGTATAAAGCAAACGATATGGTTTACCCCACGGCCTCCCAAACTTTTAACTCGCCCCCCCTTCTAATATATTAAGATGCATAGACTTGGTGGTGGAGGAAGCCGTAATCGACCAGCGGTTAGTGAACCACCCCACGGCGGCGAGGAGTCCGGCAATCTTTTTCCTCCTAAAAACATAAATATTGATTTAATTATGTTTCTTATTTCATCTACTTCTCTTTTTTCTTATTTTTAATCATAGTGCAAGTTTGCATCCATGACTTAATATTGTGTTTTCATAAATCATACTTTTGTTCCAGATAGTACATTATCAATCACCATACTTGCCGTATATTTCTTGCCATTTGCAATATCTTAGAATTTTTCTACCAAACAAATTTTGATTTCAATTTATAGTAAAGTCAATAGTTTTATTGACAGATTTTTTTGTTGCAATTTCGAGTTGGAATTGAGTTAATAAGTGGTTTTATAAGTGGTTGGGCCATGAGAATTTATGTGAATGTAAATTGGATGGCACGGTTGATGTTCAAAAATATTTCATAATTTATGTTCGTTCACACTGCTATGCTATATCATAGTCATGTTGAAGTTAACGCGTATTGCATATATATATAGGTTATATTATGTCTTAAAATTTTGCCGCCGATTATATCACCATACCCGCCATATGTTATTGTTTTTATGGTGCGATAATAATATACCGGTAATTGATATTAATTCCAAATACTACATATCTATATGAAAACAGTATTTCCTTCCACGTAGCATCAACCTATGAGTATCAATTCTTTTTTCCTACTTTTGCATAGTTCCTAGTTTTCTTTATATAAATCTTACCCTCTGTTGCGAATAGTACACATCCCCATTCTTGCCATGCGATGAGCTTTTTTTCTTTATTGGGATTTCAATCAGAAATGGTCATATATCGTTATATTCAGTATTTATTATCTTTATATACCTACTTTATATTGCGGATGGTACATTATCGGCGTGTATGTTGTATTCATTATTACAGTTACCGCAGTATTTCACAAATATGGTGTTTTATCAATATTTTAATTTTTTTTATATCAAATGTTCACGTATTGAATAAATCTATGTTGTTTAAACTGAATCATGGGTTCTCAAACTTTATTCTCTCATTTACCTCTTTGCAAATTTCAAAGAAAAAGATACCTACAATTTTTTTTTTGGTGCTCCCGAAGTATGCGAACCAAGATGGCGGACATCGGAACGTAACATGGGTAACAGGTTAGGGTTAGGCGATAATTTTTTCCAGTTTTCCTTATTTTAGTCCTTTTATCAGTTCGAAGACTAGCCAAGAGCCTCCCGTAGTATTTATACCTAAAATTATGGCCTAACCCTAACCTAGTACACATATTACATTCCGATGTCCGCCATCTTGGTTCGCATACTTCGGGAGCCCCCTTTTTTTTATATTTTCATTCCTACAAATACCCATGAATAAGCCACATTTGATCATGAAAGATGTATTGAAATAGAGAACCCAGTGGCAGTGGCCTATCCAGGGTGTGGCAGCCATGGCTTGTGGCATGGGCACCGTTTGAAAAGGGGCATAAAAAGCTGAAAAGTTTCAAACATAAATTGTTTATGTAAAATAATTTCAGTTTGAAAATAACTGAAACTCATATTTTTACTTAAATGGTTGGTGAGGCACAAGTATCTAATTTTGATAACAGTCATTATAAATTGTTAACCAACTATCAAGAGCGGCACGTTTTTAAACTTTGCCATAGGCGCAATGCCGCAATTGTACATAGATACGCCACTGCCCATCCGCTCCCAAATGATTTTTCTTGAACTTTTTGCCTACACTTGCCATCCTGTGGACTGCACTATGTTTATTTTTATCAATTTTCTTACCATACCAGTTTGATTGCAACATCCGCGTATCCGTATATTTTAGCATTGCTGTTGTAATTCGAATGAATTTGATATTTCTGGCAAATATTCTTAAAATATAATTATATGGTGTCCATAAGTCTTGGATTTTTTTAAAATTGCAAAGCGAATTAATCGATTTCATACATTGTTTTTGCCCTCACAAATGTATTAAATGAAGTGAAATACCTAAACAATTACTGATTAAAAACAACAAACCTGGTTAAAACATATTAAATTGCAAGGAGAATTTATCGATACCATTTATTGTTTCGGCCCTCACAAATGTATTAAATGAAGTGAAAATACTTGAATAATTACTGATTAAAATAACTGGTTAAGATATATTGAAAACTGACGTCATAACAAAATTATTAATCTGTATATTCCTTAGCATGTTTCTCATTTCAGCATCATTATTCTTTTCTATGTTACAGTTTACAGATTTCTTTACATAAATCACAAATCTTTAGACTAAGCAATTGTTACTTTCATGGAGAATTTCTGGTTGGATAGCAGAATTTATCGACAACATTATCTGTAACTTGTAACTGCGTGGAAGAATTTTACAAATTATGCAAATTTTGGAAAAATCTTCATTGGATTTCACAGCTTCGATGAAAATTTGAAGCTGGTTAAAAAAAACTATTTTGGACAGAATTTACAATTTTCTGTAACTTTTAAGCGTGTGGGAAAAACTTGACAAATTCCGCAAACTTTGGAAAATCATATTATTGCATTTATTATTAACTATGATGCAAGATACCAACTCACAATGGACACGGCTAGAAGGTGAAATGGACGTAACATCAAACCCACATTCCAGTGTACAGCCACCCCAAACAGCAGCAATGCCTAAACCAAGAGAAAAATACAAAAACAAGCTATTCAAATTTGGAGTTACTGAAGTCGTCTTGGGTAGTTTATCGAGCATTTCTTGCATTGTCACTTTAGTTCTCGCAAGTTTGATAAAAGAATGGCCTTATTATGAGCCATACTATGACGAAACGTTTTATCATACTGTGTATTACGGTTTAACGAACACAGCTCCTGGGCTCTGGTGTGGCGCTGTTATTATTGCAAGTGGAATTCTCGGCATCAAATCAAAGACTATACCTACTTTATGCATGTACAGGGCCAATATGACTGTTAGTATCATAGCAGCAAATTTTATGGGGATTCTCTGTATAATGTCTGGATATAGCGCTGGTGATTTGTACCCATTAAGCCACACTTATGGTGCATTGGCGTTGCATTCTTTAATGGCTGTGATAGGTTTTGTTGGCATGATCATTTGCATCGTGCATTCGTCGTATTGTTGTGCCGGGGTTTGTTGTAAAAAAACACATAAAGGTGTTGTAATATACACAGCATCGTCTGTACAATATGCCCCTCAACAAATGGTGCAACTGGCAAATGGCCAATATATGATGGTGCCTGCTACAGCACCCCAGCCTATGATGTCAGTTTCAGGGGCTACATATCAGCCTGCTAGCCAAGTGCCACCTCAAGCAGTATTAGTAGATGCTCCGCCTCACGCACTGGCTCCCCAAATGACAAAACAGCAAGAGGCCCAAATGGATATTGATCCACCCGAATACACTGCGCATGCTTCTGATTATCCGACATGATCAAATACCTGGGGACTTGTATACGAAATGGAACCATTGTATAATGTATTCACTATGTTTCGTACTTCAACTTGTCAGAGCCCTGAGATACGGTTGGAATGAAATGAACTATGTTTCACTTATCAAGCATTACCTTCATATATAATGAGTTACACTTCATTCACACCATCTAATATGGAAGCGGTGGAAAGCTTGACTGGTTATCATGCATTGTCCAGGGCTGCGAATTGAAGTGCGAGCCCACTGGCACTTTGAGTATATGTCAGACATAGGCAAAGTACGACCCATGGGCCAAATCCGACTCATTGGGTGATTCAATCTGGCCCGCATGATGCTGCCACAACCAAACTGAAACCAAATTTTTATGTTTTACCGGTAGCTAAAAATAGCTCAAGGAATTTGTTGAGATTGCGATTAAACTTAGTTTTGGCACGAAGCTTTTAAATATTGTTCATAAAATGTAACTTTTACATCACACCTACATGGCCCGCGAGTTAAAGTGGGTCAAATTTTTGGCCCCTGATTCAAAAACTTTGCCTATCCCTGGTATATTGTCTGGTGGTTGCTTTTGCTAATTTACCATGATATGTGTGACTCCTCTTTGCTTGCAATAGACACCCTTGCAGACAAGTAAACCCATAGATAAAGAAATGAGGGTATTTTTATAACTCACCACAACTTCGAAATGTGGTTTTCAACCTTTTTGAAGGAGCAGAGGCCCGAGGAACCCATGTGCAATAGTCTCATTGTAGGAATAGTATAATAAATATACATGGTGTTAAAAAAGTTACGCAAAATTAAGGTAAAATTTTTCGTCATGGCAAAGTTAAAAAAGTAACTGTTATAAAACGTCAATCGAAAAATGTTTAAATGACATTTCACCGTAATTCAATACTGTTCAAAGGTGTTAGTCGTCGTTAAATGTTTTAAGTAGCATGTTTAACTTCTGTTTACTTTGCTTTACTTTTTAACACTCTGTATATAAAAGAAAACCTAACACTGTCAAAAGATAATGAACAAAGTATGGCAAGTTTAATGATAGTAGAATACATATTAGACATTTGATTTGGGTATGTTGTTCGGTGCTCCCGAAGTATGTGTATCAAGATGGCGCACAACCTGAACATAGTATGTGTACCAGGTTATGGTCATCAGGTTGTGCGACATCTTGGTACACATACTACGGAAGCGCCTGTTTTTTGAACAATAGACGTACAATAATGTAGACTCTGGGATATGAATGGAAAATAACGGAACCGTGGTTGAAAGCCACCGACCTCAACCATTTATTACGCCATGTGTCGGGTGCTGGCCATACAGTCCCAACACAAGTTCTTTAAAACGGTTCCATTACATTTGAACCCACGACAATTGCACCTCCATACTATTGCACCTATGAAAATTTGCACCTACGGATATTTGAACCCATACTATCACTAACATGGATTTTAGCACCCGCATATAGATTGAACCCGCGGATATATGGGTTCAAATGTGCTGTCACCCTTCAAAACCTATGGTGCGATATGGCTCAATGCTCTGACCATTATGTCATCGTCAGATCGCAGTGTGCTAATCATTAAGGATTCGCACGCCACACACCGTGAGTTCGTAGGTTCGAATCACTTCGGGCTTTAATTATAAGCTGGAGGATTGCTGGACTCTCGCCGCCATAGGGTTGTTCACGTAAACGATGGTCACCTGCTCTCCCATCGAGTCCATGCATCTGAAAACAAATTACTGGCTAACTAACCCCATACCCTCGACATGGACTGGTAAGTGGTTACATATGATCAATCCGTGTTATTGGCTCTCCTCTCCCTCAGGATAAATATTTAAATCTTATTCTATATTGTAAAGTCGTGCTTCTGTGAATTCTTATTCCTGTGGACCCCATTCATTGAGGCTCTGGCTACATTCAACTTTTGTCGCTCCCGAAGTATGTGCACTAAGATGGCGCACAACCTGATCCCTAACCTGGTACACATACTATGTTCAGGTTGTGCGCCATCTTGGTGCACACACTTATGGAGGTCCCAACTTTTGTCATGTACATACAGTATGCCACTGTGTTTAATAATATCCTGATATGGAATCCATCATTCTACATTTATTATGTTGATAGGTATTTGTCTGTTAGATGCACGCGATATCTCACGAAAGCGAAATTGAATCTGTCCAGATTTTGCATGTGCATTTATCTTATCTCAGACCAGAAGCCTAGTGATTTTGGGCGAATTATGTCGTATAATTAGCGAGTTATTAATTAATTGACGTTGGGACACAAGGTGTCACTATTGAGTAAGAGCGCTGTTTTCGATCGATAAGCTTCGGTCTCTGACCGATATTCTTGTTTCCTCATTAATTATATCTATCACTGCTTGCTGTTCATCATTCCATTATTTGTTCTGTGCTTCCGAAGTATGTGCAAGATGGCGCACAACCTGAACATAGTATGTGTACTAGATTAGGGTTCAGGTTGTGCGTCATCTTGGTATGAATACTTCTGGAGCGCCGTTTGTTCAATAATTTGCACTATATTGCCATATTTCACCTCAAAAGTTTTCCTGTAACAAGGTGCACGACTTTCATTCTTGCTTTGTTTGTATTATCAGATTATGGAGTTTTCAAAATAAACTATCTATATATCGTTAGTCTTCAGTGTAAGTATGTTCATTAGGTCTAATAAGTAATACAATTAGGCGCTAGTTCTTTGTTGCTTTGTAGCAGGATTGGAAGGCACTCCCGTAGTATGTGCACCAAGATGGCGCTCAACCTGATAACCTTAACCTCGTACAATACTCTATTCAGGTTGTGCGTCATCTTGGTGCACATACTACGGGAGCACCGATTGCGGTGGCTTGAGTCATTAACTCGATTCTAGTCAAATTTTTCAATACCTCAGAGTGACTCAATACTCAAATCACCGGAGCCAAATGACTTGACGAATCATCAGATAGACTTACTCAAGACTCAGGAGTGCAGTAACTTGGCTTGAAACCAGAACTAAAACGTGTATGACTCGCGACTATAGACTCGACTGAGCATTTCGAGCAGGGGTCGGCAACCTTTTGTCGCTCGCGAGCCAAAATTAAGGGTTGCAATCATTGGCGGGCCGCACATATTTTTTAACAGTTCAAAAACCGAACAGATGATACTTTTTATAATGAAAATCAAGCAGTGATACATCTCTCGAATAGAATATAGATTTATTTTCTCATTGCATCTCAAAAAATTCCATTTAAATATTTTCAGCGCCACTAAACTCTTTGAACTTAGCAACAACCTTTCTGTGTATTGTTGCCGTTTGTCTAATTATAATTAAATTATAGGCTCATTAAATGAGTAATTATGCATTTTATACTTATTAGATTATAATATAATTTAGTCTACACGTGTCTCACAATAAATTCTGTTACGTAGAGAATATAATCATCAAAACAGCTGTTTTGTTACTACATTCAGTGAGGCGTCGCGGGCCGGATTATATTACTCCACGGGTCTGATCCGGGCCGTAGGCTGCCGACGTAGCCAAGGGATGGGCCAGAAAGCATGTCTGTGTTAGTCAGTTGTTTATTTTATCACAAACCGAAAGTACACATTAAACAAACATAATTAAAAAAGATAAAAGAATGCATTTCATTGTGAAAGGAGACGCGATAAACCAGTGATGGTTATCGAGCAGCGTCACCTATGAGGGAGTTAGTCTGACATTAATACATACTGAGGAAGAAGTCAAACATAAAATACTAACAAAATCCGGACTATGTCTGGATAGTGACGCAACAAGAAACTTGTCCTTATTACTCCCCACCTTTCAGAGAAAAATACAATCTTATCCAAAGCGGTAATTGGAGTTTCCAGAACTTAATTAAGTTATAAAAATCACATTATGAACTATTAAACTGTGCAAAAGTCCGGCTGCAAGTTGCGCATATCACTAGCTAAATATACGTAAACGATTGACGAGGGAGAAATGTGGAGTTTAATAAGAAGGAATATATCAAGAAGTTTGGTATCCACTATTCTTAAACATACCGATAGCTTTTGTATTTCCAGTTGGACCCACAAAATTGTACAAATGATCAACCTGCCGGCTGGCGGTTGCAGGTTGAAATCCCGTGGAGGGTAGGTATTTATAAGTGCGAGAGAAGTGCTGCACTGCTGTCGTCATAAGGAGCGCCCCCATCCCCCCCCCCCCCCAACCAGAAAACATAACAACGGCGGTACGTTTAAAACTAATGCATGGCATATACAGCATCGGGGGCGTGCAGGCGTATGGACCTTTCCCCGACCTCTGACCCCCGATGAATTCTTCTTATACTTTACCATTGCAAAATTTTCGAGGCCATTTTAGGAATGCTTTTACGAGTTGGCGCCTGTAAAATAGGGTATGTGTTCCAAGCCATCATTATGATTTATCGCATACAGCAATCTGTTTTTTAAAAGTGCCGGTAAAGAATTTTAGCCTAGTCTATCACAGCTATTTCTACGCTAAATTTTTATTACTGCACTTAAATTACAAGAGAGCTATGCTCAAATATATGGACACGTAGCGCCACCCAATGGCAATAATTTTGATGACGTCATAGCGAAAAAAAAAGTAATAGCCTTCTGGAGAAAAATTTTATCTTCAACCACTGAAAATTTCAAAGCAATTGGTCCAGTATTCGAAGAGAAAAGCGACTTTTTAAAAACGTGTCAAAGAACAACAACAAGGATAACAAGAACAAGAACAACAACAACATAATATTGAAACGATCGTTATGTCCACTACGTGTCCAAAAACTCCTAGAAAGGCAGAGTGATCATTGAAATATCTGATTTATATTTAAGTTTCCGAAACACAACTGAAAATTAACGAATAGAGAAAATTAACGCGAAAACGAAGTAATGTTTACGACCACGCTTGAAAATCTGTCTGAGTGAGAAAAGTGTCTGAGCGGATGCGAAAAGGAAGCATTGTTACGTCACTTTTTGCATCTCACTGATTGGCCAATGTCACGAAGTAAACAAGGAAGTCGATGATCGGGGAAAGGTCCATGAATCAGAATTCCCTGGTGCGTGAGCCGTGATTGCGTACCGGTACAGTGTAAGTCGTGTTATTTTCTAGGGATTTCCCTCCGTTTTGAAACATATAGAGGTACACGTCAGCGCCGACAAAAATGAGCAAACGTATGATTTATCACAAGTTACGCTGAAAATAAAATACCTTATTCCCTCCTTGCGCGATATCTGTATTATTCAATAGATGACTCGACAGTTTTCAGATGACTCAGTATATTTCTCGGTGCAGCTGTGAGACCATTTCACAGATTTTGAAGACCTATGTTTACGCAGCTTTGCCTGACAAAAGGCTTTGGCGGTAGGAGAGTGTACCTTACCTGCAGATCTGACAATCTTTATTGGTACCCGTACTTTTCGTGACAAGGAAAACAATTTTTGACAGGAAAGGAGTCCTAAAATTTACCTGTAAAAACTATAAGCTCAAGTCAATTTCACTATAGGGGTGGTGACTCAAGCTATGGGCCGCGGCCACATCAGAAAAAAAAAATCAATTATTTTACCAAAATTTCGAATTTTATGAAATTATCAATATTCATACCAAAAAAAAAATCGCGGGATGCCACCAAATTTTTTTTTACGATAAGCCTTATATAAAAAATAAAGCAAAATACCAAGCTACATACAGACATACAGAAAAGGATACTCCTGTAGTATGTGTACCAGGTTAGGATTGGGACAAAATGTTGTTCAGATGTTTCACATTATAGTTCCATTACGAGTTCGGGGACTGTCTGTGTTAGGGGTCTCATGTAGTTTCTTACCTAACATACTTCTAGTTGGCGTAGCATGACAATTTTTTCACGTATCAATCCTAACCCCACCCTGACTACACCATTCAAAAATTTTGTCATTACGACGTCATAGTGACGTAATAGAGCCCTTCAAACTATACGAACTGCCATCCAAGACGCGCAAACGAGCACCCGAAATCGAACAGTTATTTCTCTCGTTTTCTCGTTGCAACGATTCCAATAGGAGAGAGACCGATAACGTCCGTCAGTTCTTTATCGTCGGCGCCAATGCCATTTCGGTCGATCGTGCGTATATTTGACAAGCTCTATGACGTGATTGTGACGTCGTAGTCATTTAATTTTTGGATGGCGTAATCAGATGGGGGTTAGGATTGACGTATCAAAAAATTGTTATGCTACGCCTACTAGAAGTATGTTAGGTACGAAACTACACGAGACCCTGTGTTAGCCAAGTGAATAGTCCCTTCACACAACTTGATGGGCCGCGGCCCAATTCGATGGGTCGTGGCCCTGGCCCATGGGCCGTAGAGGAGTCACCACTTCCACAGAACTGTATTTTCAGTATTTGATTTGCAAGAAACTTAGTTAGAATTTAGAACTGTGCTGTCTATATATCCAGATATCCCTGATGAAGACAAGTCAGTCAACTTTAAATCTTAGTCCTGTATCGTCAGAATGGGGTCCCGTGTATTTTCATAACCATTTTTGCATATGTTATTCCTAACCCCCACCTGACTACATCATCCAAAAATCCCCTAGAAGTTATTGTGGTTCAAGACCCCTGATGTGTTAGTATTTTTGATAAAAGTTTCAATTGTTTTATTTTTGAAAAGCATTTTCAATATTGGTGTTTGACAGCCTAATCATATGGCGAACTCAAGCTTCTCGTCCAGTTACCAGTCCAAGTCGGGTATGGCTGTATGGGTTTACTTAGTCAGTTATATGTTTCAGATGCATGGACTTGATGGTAGAGGAAGCCCTAATCTACCAGCAGTAACATGAAAAACCTTACAACCCTAAGGTGACGAGAAGTCCAGCAACGCACTCGCACATAATTATCTCCCACAGGATTTGAACCTGCGAACCCAAACAGCATAATCAGAGGTGCGGTGACGAGCGTATTCCTAACGCTTAGCCTGACAGCACAATGAGCCACGCCGCGCCAATTGTTGCTTAGGTAAAAATATACGATGTTGATACAAATAGAAATTCAATTCATTTTCAGATTTAGTTATATTTTTTGATACCAGATAATGTCTTTGAATTTGTCGATTTTGTATCCAAACGGCCGTCGCAAAAATGTAAAAGTTTCATCGAACGTAGTAATACTGCAAACTTTGGAAGATGTATGCAAACGAGAGAAACTGGACGCAGAAACTTTTTCGTTTTTATTTCAAAGAAAAATATTGGATGAATCGTTGTCATGGAGATATGCAAATGTACCCAATAATGCAAAACTTGAACTTTTAAAACAGGAAAAAGTGAAGCAAGAATCTCCTGTGAGAATTGCATTGCAATTTGAGGGAGGGAACAGAGTACAGCATTCATTTTTACCGTCTGTAACATTGTCTGACATCTTGCAACACTGGGAAAGTGAACTTTCAACTTTGACCCCACCAGAAGGTCATGAACCTAGTATTTTGTATGTTAGGCAAGAAATAACAGGAAATTTTAAACTTTCGAAAACGACCCTGAAAGTTTGGGTCTAACGAGTGGAAGCGCGATATTACGATTATCGTATAAATTGGTAACAGAAAATGAACCCATAGAAAAACCTTCTGAGAAAAAGGCTGAAATACCAGCTCAACAACCCCAGAAAATACAGGAAAGAAATGTTCTCAAACCGCTCGTTAAGTCAGAAAGCAATGAAGGCATGATGATAACTGAAGAGATGTTACAGAACGCACTGGAACAAACATACGCTACGCCTGAATCTCTCGGAGTAAATTCCGCCAGAAATAATGATTCTGTAGAGTCCATGGAGGTTGATCTGTCAGCTTCTTCTTCAAAAACAGAATTTTTTGACGCCGTCGGCAATTCTTCTGCGGAAAGTTTGAAAAATGGACGTGCTAGACCAAGACGTGTTCACTCGAATGAAACCGCCCCGAAAAAGAAAGTTAAACAAACACCACCAGAAAGTCCGCAACCTGATTTTTCTGAGTTTAAATTTCCAAAAGAAAGTGAAGGGATGGATGTGTATTCTACTGAAAATGAGGGAAATGAAATCGATTTTCGCCCTCTGATGACATCGTGTGACCGAGAACCTATATTCTTTAACGAAAAGGAATTGCAAAGTGCTGAAATAAATACTGATGATCCAGGGGATGAGTTTTTTGAACTCACAATTGACGACATGAGAAAAATGCTATCGGAGTTGCGTTATTTACAAAATGATTCAGAGGAAAAGCCCCTTCTTACAGCCCGGTCTCGAGAAATACAAAGATTCCGATCTATTAACCAATATCCTAAGATAGTTGTAAGAATCGTCTTTCCCGATCAAAGCGTGCTACAAGGAATCTTCCGTCCCGCAGAACCAGTGCAATCTCTTTACGATTTTGTGTCGAATTTTATATCATCCCCCGCAACGAACTTTTATTTATATACCACCCCACCAAAGGTCATTCTTAAGGACAGAAAATCAATTTTGTACGATAATCATCTCGTCCCGGCTTCCAAAGTATATTTTGGAATGAAAAATCACGATTTTGAACCTAAAATTTTGTCGTCAGATATTGGGAAATGTAGAGGAACAGCAATTGAAGCAAATTTAAAACTTCGCTCTGTTTTTGAATTGAAGTCTCCAACAGTCTCTGCTTCAAACTCTGCGCAAGGTGAGACGAGAAGAATATTTTGAATTAGCTTCTGGCGGTGTGGCACATCGTGCTCAGCATTAAGTATACGCAGGCCACCGCATCTCTAATTACCGACATGTAGTGAATGCACTATTCTAATTGATCCAAGAGTTTTGCTGCACACTAAAAACACAAATGTATTTTTGTAATGTTTTGTCTGACCAAAGTTCGATATTTTTTTGCTTTTTCCATATCAAAAAGAAGGGTAATTAAGGGTTCTGACTCGCCAATCTTCCTGGGTATACCACTATCCATCACTCAACCCAAGCTTTAAATTTGTACAGAGCTATTATGTGCATAATGGAAGCGCCACATTTATTCGATGGATTGTTTTTTTCTTTAAATATGCATATTTGTTCCTATTCAACTCAATTCCTTTTTTTTACAGAATTTACCAAAGCAACAAGCCAGCCTGGTCATTCATCATCAAGTGTTCCGGACAGCGAAACTCCGTCCACGAGTCGGCAAACCAGTCAAACGTCTACGAACAATGCTAGTGGTGCTCGACCTAAGGTTCCGAAATGGTTCAAATTAGGAAAAAAGTAACTCAAGCTAGCCTTATATGAATGTTTCTATGAATCTCGACCCGATAATAGTTCTTAAAATTCACTGACCTTTGTCTTTGGTTGTTTCTTCATTTCCAGTAAGTATTTCGTTGATTCACAAGTGCTAGCGAACTTGCTCAAATCAAACATATAGGGTGTCCATAAAGTCTTGAAATTTTTTAAAATTGCAAAGGCAATTCATCGATACCATAAATTGTTTTGGTCTTCACAGATACATTAAATAAGGTAGAAATACTTGAATAAGAATATATAAGAAATGACTCCATAACAAAATGGAAATTGTAAAGAGACCGAGGACCCTGTTAAGCAAAAATGTGACCATCTCCTCGATCAAGTTATGAATTTGGCTCTATTTAGGATTAAGTTGAAATTTAATTTTGGATTAATGGCATTTTCCATCAACTGAGTTAAAACTGTATTCCGTTGTGCAATACTATTTGCTGGTAATATTGGGTTATTTCTCTGCACTGAGCATTCATTGATTCAAACTACTATTTTCTGAGAATTCTTTAATATATAACTATTCGAAAGTTCATTAAGTTCCTTTTTTGTTCTACGTATGATCTTTTGCAGCTTTGAGTTGATATGGCTTACAAGAAACAGGCCCGTCAAGTAAGGTATTACTTCAGAAACCTTTCAGTGATAAATTTGTGCAAGAATTCGCCTGATTTACAATATTATTTTTGCTCCAGAGATAAATATAAAAATGTTGTCGAAAGATATAATTCAAAAATTTATTTCCGAAGACAGGTTTTATGTGTAGTTTTTGTAAGGTATTCTGGGCCATTACCACATTCCTTGTTTTATTTCGTCAACCAGAAAACAAGCAAGTAACCGATGTAGACTGGAGGGGGGGGGAGCGTGATACGACCATAAAGTCATCTTCCTCCAGTAACAGGATATCGTGGCCTGATAGACTGGCCGCCCTTTAGCAACTCCAAGCGAAACCTCAAAGTATCAATAAATAGTCTGCTTGACTGGCGGACCTTCCGAGTATTTGATTCTGACCGGAGTGACCGATCATTAGTCCCACTTTTGAAGTTTCATTTTATGAAATGACTTTTATTGTTTTGAATATATATTAAAAGAACAATAACGCCATAATAAACAATCTTGATTAGCTGATAATTATTAGCGGTCGAGGAAGTGCGCATTTAAGAATGCCTAAATATAATTTCCGGAAACACCGGACACAAATAATTTTGAAGTTTTTTATGCAGATCTTCGGTTAATTGAGTAGCCCTGGTCTAGTTGACCTTTCTCTCTCCAAAACATATAACTCGTACCCTTCACGTAAAGGTATCCTTCCAGGATTACACACTAAACACAGGTGCTTGTTATCTGGCAAGCCTTTTTGAATAATACCAGCAGAAGCTTAATTGAACAGCTCTTTAATTACATAAAACATTCAAAAGATAAATTTTTTTGCAACAATATAGATGTCAGGCACCATGGTCACCAATAATTATAAAAAAATTCGAATGAGAATTTTTCCGTGTTCACTTTAAAAGATTTCAAACAAACCGAAGTCACAGATTCATTTACAAACTGGACATAATTACCATAATCGTATTGATAAGAAAACTGAATTTTTTTGGTTAACACACTTCCTTGAGCACCAGTCAACTCATTTTAATTGATATCTGACCCAGCAACATAATTTTTGATCTCAGCAACGCTAAATATAAAAGATTTTCATTCACTATAGCTCAGTGGTTTCAAAACTGCGTCCCACGGATCAATTATGGCCCACATAACAGTTTGATAATCATATGTACCGGTAACCCTCCTGCCCACAAATATCTTTCTGCTTCTAATTTTGGCCTCCTGTTAATCAACTTTGGGAATCACTGCGTTAGATGGGCTTTGAAATTATTTTTACATAAAGGACAAGTAGCTGATGGCCAGCAAAACAACAGATACCACCAGACACCCAATCAATATCACAATTAAATATGTCATATGCAACAATTTATTCAAAATATGGAGGGTATTTAGGATATTATTAAATAAATCAAGGTCATTTTGATCAAGTAACGATTTGTTCATTGATGCATAAAATTGCAGACTCAAAAATGAGAATATTATTGTTTTTTGCTTTGGCCTTGTTTTTGCTTTTTCTGAACAGGGCAGTGAAGTCTTGATTTCAAATAGGTCAGGGGCTGAGTTGAATTTCCAAACTCCTTCATGTCAGAGAGGGGAAACTGCAGACTTTCATAGTTGATAAAACAAGCCAAAACTTCTTACTAAAGCTCAAAAAATCATAAATTTTATAAATCACTCTTGACAATCTGATCAAGAAGACTCGTGTGAGCCAAGGAGATTTTTCTCAGAGCTGTTGTCGAAATTAGAACTTAAATACGGAAAGTCAAAATAGGATTATGGCCTAACCATAACCTGGTACACATACTACAAGAGTATCAAAGTTCATACGCCTCCACATCCATTGATCTTGCATTCAAAGGTTATACCTGCACAATCCACATTTGCAAAGTAAGTACCGTAAATTATAAATAAATCAAGTCCTTGGCATTCTCAATTAAAACATTCAATTTCATTTAGAAAGGGTTTATTTTATCATGTTTATGTTTTAAATATTCAGTGAATGAGTTGAAAATAACAACAATGAGTCAGGTAGGTAGGTCAGTTTTGAAAATATATTATTTCAAAATCGGTGCACAGTATAGCTTATTGGATGTGCATATGTGGAGTCTGAACTATGATGGGTGGGTAAAATGCTTTCAAAGCTGGCCCAATAAGGCATTGGTCAGCAAGCTTAAGAGAATAAATTAGCATTCTTTCCGTCAAACTAAAACCTACTCGGAGCCGCAACATCTACTCTAATGTCAGTGGCTATTAAAACTCTCTGAAAACCACTTAGTTAGCCAGTTATTTGTTTTATCAGATCCTGATTATATAAAACATTTTGATTTAAGCGACTCCTTACGGGTAAACATGATAAAATACTCCATTTCTATTTAACAAACACTCGATTAAGATTCGAAAGTGCATTTTTCTTTTGGAAAAGTGCATCCTGATCGTTGAATAATCAGATTTGCAGCATAATGTCCTCCTTGTACACACTGCTCAATGCTTTTTCCTTTTACTAGTTGCGATAGAAAACCTAAAATAATGATTGAATTTGAGAATTAAACATTTCTTTAATGAGAATTTACTCATATCTACTTCAAACTCACTCGGAAGTAAGAATTACTGAGCAAAGTTACAAATTGCCACTGGAAAGCATTTAGAAAATGCATATTTTAAGAGAAAGCTTATTCGCTCATAAATAAAGGAGACTGATCTTTGAGCGAAGTTCATGTGTTAAATTGGGTACTCCAGTCGTATGTGAACCAAGATGGCAGACACCGGAACGTAGTATGTGTACCAGGTTGGGGTTAGACCATAATTTTAGGTACAAATACCACAGGAGTCACTTGGCTTGTCCCCGAACTCGTAATAGAACTAAAATAAGAAAAATTGGAATAAAATTATGGCCTAACCCTAATCTGGTACACATACTACGTTCCAGTGTCCGCCATCTTGGTACGCATGATGTTCTTCACAGAATAATTATATTTTACCCAGCCAAAATTGATTCTTATTACGATGCCATATTTTTTTGACTATTTTTAAATTTTACATTTTTGTAATTCATACAACTCACCTCCAACAAAAGCGTCTCCAGCCCCATTTGTATCCACAATGTCTTCAGGTTTGATTTTGATTATAGGGTACTTTGCAACTTCGTGAGGGCCTGAATTCAAAGATATAGGTTAGGCATACTATTCGAAATAAAAAGCCAGTTGTGTGTGTTGCGGGATTGGGAGGGTTTCTATCGTTATGCTACACACTACCAGGATAATTCATATTGTACAGGGTGTCCAAAAAGTTCGCCCGATTTCATAGCAATACCAATTGCAAATTTGTATAAATTTTGTTTTATGATAAATGGGGACGACATTGAACATCTATAACATCCAATTAGAATAAAATTATGACCTAGGTACACACACTGGTAGTACTGTAATAGATTGGGTATGCAATTCCCGGTCCCTTTAAAAACAGCAGCCCATTTCATATCATTAGATATATTTATATCACCATCATTGGATGTCAGTAGTTGCTTGCACAAGGCCTTGGAGCGAAAGATGTGTGTAAAAGGAATTAGTGTCGAATAAAAATAAAAAAAATACCAACCAGTAGCAACAATAGCAGGCTCAGCTCCCTGTGTTATAACAACAATCCTCTGCCTTGTGCTGTTGATCTTGGTCCAACCAGCCAATTTCTTAGCAATCTCAGCGACGTCTTCAGTTCCAAAATTGTGAATTTTAGAAAATACTGCGGCTTCCTGACGAAGAAATTTTGAGACTGTTCATTAATGATTTTCAACCATGGGTTCGCAAAACCCTAGGGTTCCCATTCAAACCTGAGAGCCTATATTATTATATGTAAATTGTTTTAATATAATCAAATACCTCTCAGTTTTTCAATTCTATAAACTCCATCGAATTGATTTGAGACATTCTGAATTGCAAACACATATTAACTCGGACATTCTAGGTCAGGGTGAGCAACATTTTTTGTCGGTGGGCCATATAACTTACTTCATATATCTAGCTGAGCCACACGAAAAACTTAGTTTTTTCATGTACACAACAAATTAAAGAATTAGCGACAGAGCGCAGCGGGAAATGCAAGAGAAGAGAATGCGGCTATCGCTTAGCCTCACAGCAGGGGTCGGCAACCTTTTGTCGCTAGCGAGCCAAAACTAAGGGTTGCAAGTCATTGGCGGGCCAAAAGTTGAATAGAATATAGCTTTATTTCCTCATTGCATTGCAAAAAATTTCATTTGAATATTTTCGGTGCCATTGAACCCTTTGCACTTAGCATCAACTTATGCCTTATGTTGTCATTTGTCTAATTATCATCAAATTATAGGCTCATTAAACGAGTAATCGTGACTTATATACTTGTTAGATAATAATATAATTTGGTCTACACTTGTCTTACATTAAATTCTGTTATGTAAAGAATACAATCGTCAAAACAGCTGTTTTGTTACTATAATTCAGTGATGTGTCGCGGGCTGGATTATAATACTCGGCGGGCGGGATCCGGCCCGCGGGCCGTAGGTTGTCGACTCCTGCCTTACAGTAATAAAAGCACGTGGAATGATATAACGTAATGATTGTGACGTCAAAAATCCGGGCACTTATAACTTATATTAAATGTATTAATCATTAATCATGCGAACGGAGCTAAGTGACTTGCGGGCCACACTAACATTAAACTTTCATACTAAGGTGGGGGCCACAAACTATCGTCCTGTGGGCCGCAATGGGCCCCAGGGCCGTGAGTTTGGACACCTGCTCTAAATTGACTTTTTACAAAAAAAAAACGCTTTTCTAGTCGCAAAATCGCAAAATTTCGTGTGCTTACGGCGCACATTATGTTTGGTCGCCGATTAGGAACATACCTAATTAATTAATCATTAATCATGCGAACTGAGCTAAGTGACTTGCGGGCCACACTAACATTAAACTTTCATACTAAAGTGGGGGCCACAAACTATCGTCTTGTGGGCTGCAATTGGCACTGGGCCGCGAGTTTGAGACACCTGTTTTAAATAGCTTTTTACAAACCATATCCATAAAATCACAAAAAACAAGTTGACCTACCGTTTCGTTTCCGAATAAAATATCAGCGTAGGGAAGAACTGATGTTTGTTGATCTTTGAAGAATTCACACAAGAATGGAGCTGAAATGAGAGAGATAGAGATTAATTCCTGTTAACATGAGAAAAGAGGCGTAGCCAGGTCCAGGGTTTTCAAAAAGGGACCCTGGAACTGGGAGGAAAGCAATGTGTTAAATGTGTGATTCACGACACTTTTAGAGGATATTTTCTATGTCATACTACCAACATCAACCATAGAGAATATTTATACACACATAACTCTGACCGCATTAAAAATTAGGCTTGGGGCCGTTTCAGGAAGTCGGCTTAAATGCGAAAATATATGGTATTTTGAAGTTATTTGGTTGTTTGGGGCATCCATACTAGCAGGGTTGGCCAGGGTAATCGTTTATATGGAGGGCTTAATGTACCATAACAAATGCTTGTTCCTCATTAGGAAATAAGATGACAGGAAGAATTTGTCAAACTGATTACAGATGCATGACATTATCAGTGCAACAAGGAAACAGGATAATTATCTTTCGCATGGAAGTTGTGAATCATTACAAACTTCCTTCCTTAACTGATCGATTAGACATCATCAATGAAATTCTGTAATATTCTAGATCAGCATTTCCAATCTTTCATGGCTTGTGGCCCCCTTCCAGAAGCTTTTAGCACTCATGGCCTCCCGTTTATCGTTTCAGTGGTATTAATCATGTTATTTTGATTGGTAGATTCCAAATTCCATTATGTTCAAATAATTCATGCTCAACAAAGTGAAAACACTTGTGAAATATTGTTATCAAGCAATGAAACTAGGAGGAACAGGAAGTTTTCTTGTCAAGAGAAAAGTAAAATCTGTTTTGTGCTTAGCATAGTGCCCCCCCCCCCCAACTGCTCTGAGGCCCTTTTGGGGCCCCTGGTTGGGAATCGCTACAATAGTAGTCCTAACCTAGCAGTTTGCTACTTGTGCTGAGCCTGGTTCGGAGTGAACTACAAATATTTATGTCATGTAAAACAAAGACAAACCTGACAAGTTCATCATAAAGATCTTTCCATTTTCTGCCGCATGTTTTGCTACTGCCAAGATCGAGTCAACGGATACTGTCAGGAAAAAACCCTGGAAAAAGGGAAAAATGATTAGTATTGGTTAGAAGCACTGAGGGAGGGAGGGATCACATTATCTGAGAACATAATCTGGAAAAAACACAACTTTTGTGCACCTCTGGGTACAGCCATACACAAATAGAAGCTCTAGTGTTGAATAATGTTTATCATAGTCTTAGAAGGATATGTCTTGCATATTTCATAGTTTCAAACTAAAATTTGTATTTTGAAATCAAGTCAATAATATCTGCTTCAGTGAAACAGGATTCAGAAAATGGAAAAGTCAAAACCAAAATTCTAGCCAGCCTGGTAAGAGAAGGATAAATTCCAATAACTGAGCAATTCATATTCAAATAACTTACAGCAATATAATAAAACTTTGCTTTTTCTACTAGAGCCCAGTTCTCCTTCTGGTCCAAATGTTCTTTCTTGTATTCATTTGCTGCTGCGAGATTAGCACAAAGAGACCTGGAAAAGGAGAAATCAATATACCTTTTGAGACAAACATAATCGTAGGAGAGGATTCCATTTTTATCCGGGAAAGTGGAAATGCGATAGGGAAGGAGGCCTGGGTTCGTTTAAGGTCGTTGGGTGAACAAGACTAAACATAATATAAGTCATGCCAGAAGCAAATTATGCCCTAAACTAGATCTTGGGTATGCCAAGTAAGATAAAATGTGTTTTTCCTGAGTGCAATAAGTTAGGTAGAACTGGGAACATACCTCTAATTTAAAATTCAAGTGCAAAAAAACTGAAAATGAAAACACAAACTCAATAACTCTCAACACACAAAATTCGAGTACCTGTCATGCCCACAAATCAATGCAGCGCAGGTCCCAGTGGGTTCTTTGTCTTGTACATAGTATGCTGTTTTCACTCCGACGTCTTCCGCTTTTTGTTTCAATATTTGACCAAATTCGTCATTCCCAATGCATCCTATGAAAGTAGTGGCTTGCGGTACTCCCAACATCCACTGAAAGGTGGTAAAATAGGTTTATTTTCATGCTTATAATAGGTTATGTATAAAGGGTGGTTATAAAGTCGCTCTACAATTTCAATTTGGTTATGAAGTCGGTTCTCAATTTTTTCAATCGGTAATTGTTCAAGTATTTTTACTTCATTTAATACATGTGCCAAAATTTTGAGACTTCATGGACACCCAAATATACATATATATAAACAGTGATAATATAGATTGCGATATCTCGGTAGCCGAACATAATTCGTTCGGGATTACCGGTTTGTTCGAGCAATGAAACTTTTTTTTGCCATAAAAAAACAATGCTAATTATTTTAATACGTTTTTATGCATTCCAAAATGTCTAAAAAATTTTTCAAAACAAGGTATCCAAATAAGAATAATTGCTGTCGGTCCCTGCGCAACATTATCTTTCCTCATTATTTCTGTATTTTTCAAAAAAGTGGTAAAATAAGTTTATACTCATAGTTACGGTAAGTTTATTATTTCCATACAGTAAAAAATAGCATGCAAAGTTTAAAACGAGAATATCGGTCAGAGACCGGGGACTTATCGATCGAAAGTTAGGGGATCCCCCAAAACAGCGCTTTTACTCCTTAGTGACACCTTGTGTCCCATCACTAATTAATTAATAACTCGCTAGTTATACAACATAATTCATCCAAAATCAATAGGCTTCTGGTCCAACATATGATGAATGCACATGCAAAATCTGGAGCAGATTCAATCTCGCTTTCGTGAGATATCGCGTGCATCTAACAGACAGACAGACAGACAAATACCTATCAACATAATTACTGATTGAAATCGATAAGTAACAATAAAATTAAATACACATTTCATTGGAGAAGGGAAGTCTTTGGGAACCAAAGCTGGTTTTCCAGCATCAAGACCCAAAGTAAAAGTACCTAATTAAACATTTTTAAGATCAAAAATATTGATTGTTGGAGTACTGTTAATTTTGATGGCAGTTAACCAACCGAAATCGTGCAATACAAATTACATTGATAAAATAGAGAATGCAATGTTTATCTCAAATATTCTGCTTAAACAAATTTAATTTTCATGAATTTACAAATGTCTTGAAAAATATCTCTTGTGGAACAGACGTATTTCAGAATATATTCAATATTTCCTATTCGAAAAGATTATTCTAGAACAAGGGTGCGCAATTACTTTTCTGAGTTGGGCCAGTTACAGATAATAGACTTGGTTATTGGGCTGAAAACTCAATAAGAAAAACTATGAATATAAAAGTTTATTTACATCAGCTAGGCGAACAGTTACATAATAATAAGAAGCACAATGCAAGAATAGGGATCATTATGACGTTATTTTCATTGATATTTTCATGGAATATTTATATCCATAAAAACTTTAGTCTCAATTTGAGCAGACACAAGTGGGCCGGATGAAACACTTCAGAGGGCCGGGTTTGGCCCTCGGGCCGTAATTTGCCACTTAGTGTTCTGGAATGTATTCATCCATGCTTGCTGGTTTTACATAAAAGTTTTCATAAAAATGTTACTACTTAATTTCAAAGATAAACCAACCTGGCAAACTTTGACAGAATTCTGAGTTGCACCACCTGCAATATATTCTATCGGAAAAAAATCAACCAAGTCTTTATACATTGGCAAATGTTTTTCTTCTGCTATAATTGCATCATTTGTTTTCAAGTTATATCTGGAAAAATGAAAAAGAGAAATGCTTGAAGACATGATGGACAAATGATTATTATCGCAATCTCAATGAAATCCAAATTTTCAATGCCAAATTCCAATATAATACTGGATGTAATTTGAGTGTTATAGGGTTCTTGCTTAATCTGTTATGAAAGTAATTTTTCTCTGTAACGTTAAAGTCTCCTCTGTGTTAAGAAGCCCCCAATTTTGTTTTGGAAACTTGTGAAAATATTATCATTCTAGTTCAAGTTTTGCCACTAGTCGTCTTTAAGTGTGAATCTTAATCATATCAGCAAATAGGGTGGGAGTAGACCTTGATGACCTCATATCGCTCCCTCCTATTCATACCAAAACAATTTTATTGGTGACTATATTTTTGGGTTGATGAAATAATAAATCTCTCTCCCTCTCTCACTTGATAGGATAGAATTTCAGCATATAAACAACAGAACACAGTGAAATGTAATTCCGAGTAAAGTAAATCTTACTTCTTTAAAAATCCTTCTGCAACATTGGTGGACAAATCAAGAAGGGGGTTCCCCATACTGAATAAGATTCCTTCACTGAAATAAAAAAAAAATTGGGTTGAGCTGTCATCGTTCAAAGAAAGCGTAATAACCAGAAAAAAATTTGTTAACAAAATGTTTTTCCGAAAACTGTCAGCTGTTTTTCTCACTTTATAGTGTTGGTAATATAGCCCGCCGTACTTAAGTGAAATAGTTCAACACTTCATGTTTTTTATTTTGCATTCAAGATACCGCCAATCGTTATGTCATTCTCACAGTTTTTATCGGTGACAACCCCCAGTCGGCGCTCTCCTCTCCCGGCCGGTGAATATCCGTCAGCGCCTAATATGGGATTAGTCAGCCATTTATTTGTTCAAGATGCATGAACTCAATGATGGAGAACCAATCAGCGGTTACGTGAACCACCCTGTGGCGGCGAGGAGACCAGCAATAGTTTCGCACATGACTATCCCATCATGGGATTCGAACATGTGAATCCAAGCAGGGTAATAATGGTGCGGTGGCAGGCGTACTAGCGCCTAACATGAGTTACACCGCCGATTTTAGTGGTTGCCATTGACTGTGTTCAGAAATGAGTCTCTTTCACCACTGAGTGCGTGCCTATAACTTGCTTCAAACAAACCACTTTAAAAAAGAACAGCAAATTAAGGAATAGTCTCACGAAATATAGAATTGAAAGAGAAACGCCCGAAATACATCTTCTTTCAATTTTTGATGCAAGATAAATGTGCTGATTCACTGTTTCACTGACGAATCAGCAAAAACTTACAAAATTTCATTTTCAACTTCTTCATAACTGGAAGTTTCGGAATCCTCTTCCGTCGAGTCGCCAAAAAAACTCGAGTCGTCTGAACTAGAACTGTCAGAACTCGAGTCAAAACTAATATCAGAATCTGATTCTGACTCGACTGTTTTTATTTCTTTCAAATTTTCTTCGTATCGTATTTCTACTTTTTCTTCTTCTTCAGAAAATACCTCGTCTTCCTCATTCTCTTCCTCTGATGATGAACTTATAACCGCCCCCATGTCAAAGGTTACGACCTCTAACCAAAGAAAAAGTTACTTCCTCTAATATTGATACCCAAAAAGCTAGCAAAAGCTTCCTTGTGCACTGATGTTACAAAGCCTTACATTCAATCAGAATTCTTCCAATGAAGTTTAGTTTTATTTAGTTTTATATATTGGTTTATAAGTATTAAAATAATTTAATAATAATAATTTCGTGAACTGTACTTCATGGATGCACCGGGCAAAAGGAAAAAAACAAAATTCTCTTTATTATTGAACAATTTAAAACTTATATTCATAAACAAAATATTGACATAAAATGCTTAATTCTCCATCTTAGTTTTTACTTTTTTGGTATAGATTATGATTTGGCCGTGAAATAAGGAAAATTTCACAAAAAAAATAACTGAATCCCTTGTTAAATTCTAATAATATACATACAATTCGCCTCTTTACTAGCATTAATTTATAATTCACAACCTTAAGCATTATCAAATGCATTATCAAATAACTACTCATGCAAATTACCCTGAATCCTAATTAACTATTTTTGTATGAATTGCTTCCATTCTATTCGTAAAATAAGCTTCCTTGCAAAAATTTGAAAGGTATATTATCATAGAATCCCAATATAAAAGAAATTTTAGTTGTTTTAATTTTTTTTTTTCCTTTATCGTGAATAATGACTCTAAAAATAACAAACTACACAACACAAAAATATCCGATTATAGATTTCTTCATCAGACCTATTCATTACATATTAATTCTTTGTCTATCATACCCCTATTCCTACATTCACTCGTTTAAATCAAAACTTTACAGTCTAACTGCTGATTGAGTGTCTAAAAATCTGAAATTATGAACTTGCTCGTCCTAACCAACTCACAAAGAATAATGAATGCCCTGAGGGGGCGATTATAAAATACAAAGACAAAAATAAGCCCTGAGGCATTTCTGAGTGATGTAAACCTTGTTCAATACTGATATCTCGTGTTAGCTTTTTATGGTTGGTATACTCACTAAGACTTTGGGCTAGCAGCTTAGCCTGATGCAATAACATAGCGATGCCGGTTTACAATTTTTTTTTAAATACATCCCTTCGCCTATTCTGGAACTCCAAATGCATAAAAACTATGATACTTTATTTGTTCAATTTTAAATGTATCCTTATGTGCAAGTTGCACTTCTGCTTTTGTACAATTCAAGTAGTTTATACGTGGATAGATAACCAATATAATAGTATTAATAGAAAAAAATAGATATTGGTAGTTGTACTACTGCAAATACTTGGCAAGATTCTCCCTCTATCCCCTCAAGAGAGACAGAACTTACCTCCTCACCCCCGTCGGCTGGGAGAAATTGGAATAATAAATTTATTACGATTGTTTTTGCAAATTCAAGCTGCATTTAACAACTCTTATATGTTAATTATCCTGGTTATAGAGTCCATTGTTTGATAGCAAAAATGTTACAGGCAAGTTACAAAAGGATTTTCAATAATAGCACAGCAGTTAGAAGAGTCTATAAGACAGCTCAATGGTATGGCAAACCACATTCCCTGGGCATCTCAGCTATGTTACAGTTATTATTCAAGGATGGATGGTGAATAACTGTAACAGTCCGATTGTAACAAGATAGTATTGGAAAGATAATTACGAGTAGCATAATCTTTCTCCACAAAGTAAACTTTTGTTAGATCATAGTCCAACTTCTTCTGACAAAACAAGATATACCGTATTTCCAGGTGAATAAGACAAGGCCCATTTTTAAGCCTAAATGGCTTTTCGCATATAACCTGCCAATAAGACGAGTAGTAAAATTGCATCAACATCAGAATCTCAAATTACCATGCAGAGGCTTTTGAGCGGTCATCGCCTTTGCGCATTCGTTAAAATAGCCTATAATGACTTTTTCTTGTAGCATAATATTCAATCCATAAGAACTACAAGAATTCAAACTGTCTTTTAATTTCAATCTAATTGTGTTCAACTTAACTCGCGATTATGTGCACCATATAAGAACATTACCGATCTAAAACAACACGGCAATGATGAAAACGTGGGCCTGATATCGCAGAACGTAATTGGTATTTTATGGTTTGAGTTGAATAATGAGGCGACACAAAAAAAATTATCATACTTGCCTAATAAGATGACCCCCAAAATCATGCCAAAAATTTGGGCCTAGAAAAGCGACTTATTCGCCGGGAAATACGATAACTTATAATAACAGCGAATATAAGCTGCTATTTTGTGGAAAGAGATCATACCATCCTTGATTTTCCTTCTAATAGTATCTCATTCAAGCATCATTGTCGAAACTGGAACACACATATCCAAAGTAGGATGTAAACAAGGAAGAAAGAACCTGAGGTTCAGTGCACAAAACCCTAGTACCCTCTGTACTGGCATTTTTCAAAATAACGTTGGTTTAAAACAAAATTGAATTTTAGTGTCACTATTAATAGGATTTAATTCAAGTCAGACTGGACTTTCTTCGAACTCGAAACATCAGCAAATCGACCGGACTAAAAATTGAAAAATAGCTGAGACTAGGACTTGATTCAAGACCCAGCTGGCCTGGGTTGCGACTTACTTGGTGTTTAGGGAATCGGAGCCAGTAATGATTCTATTTCATAGACAGCATCGCACGACTTTTCCTTTTCAAACATTAAGAGATATGAATACAATATTTTAGGTACTTACGTAACTGACATGATGGTGATTTGATGTTCTGCTTAATTCTTTTGAACTTCGTCTTATATCAGTATATTGTCTTTTGTTGATTTATCCTCGTTTTTTCAAGGAGTCAATGGAAATTGAATTTAATGCAGTAATATAGAAATATTTCCTTTGACTATAAAAAATAGTAAAAAGTCATTTATTTTATCCATAAATTCCACATGACAACTGGTATGAGCAAGGCTTCTATCTAATTTTTAATATAATGGCTTAAACTTGGCCCCCATCTCGCCAAGACTCTGATGTTATAGTTTTGAGCTCAGTTATCACACCCTTCCATAATCATTTCAAACAAATATACCACGTGTCAAATTATGCTAAATTTCCGTGTCATCAGCAATTTATTTTCAAATATTTGCACAAGCTTGCATCATAATTGCGACCGTCCTACGAGGTACCGCACTAGTCCAGTGATTTAAAATTACCCTTTCATGTCTGTATGCTACTGCACCTATGCTTAGTAATATCAGCTATTACTCCCCCAAACAGCAAAGTCCGGCAGAAATGAACCGCATTTTAGCCGTATAAAGTCACTTAACAAAATTGGGTACCGGTATACGTGCAAGTACAAGTGCCGCGACCTACGAGCCGTAGCAAATAGCAGGAATAGCAGGAGTTTAAATGTTTACATTGTTATTTATACACTCGGGGCGCCGGTAAAAGTGTTCCTGTGCAGAAAATTTGTCAATACGACAACAGGTGTTATTAAAAAATTCAAAGTTTTTGTAATACCAATAAATGAGAATATTAGAGCAATTATTGAATATCATATAGTTATCAATAAAAATGTTGTACTTGTAACAATTTTCCACTTTTATAGGCTGTTGAATATTTTGAAAATTTCAAAGGAGAACACATATTTAAACTCTATGGAACTGCTGGCTCAGTGAGACGTGCAAAGCACGCGGGCAAATAGGGCAAAATTTAGTATGTATGTATGTGAACCAAGATTCAGATATTTATTTTCATCATGCAAAACCAGTATACGATATGAAATAAATAAAAAGCATATAACAAATTACAAAAACGGATATCGACTTGTTGCGGTAGACGAGGAGTCGCGAAAGACTCCAGAGTCATCCAGTCAACGACAACTTGTAGCTGCATTGAAGCGGCAAGTACAGCAACCGAACAACTCAATATTAAATATTTCCCAAGATGACGGACGGCGGAACGTAGTATGTGTACCAGGTTAGGGTTAGGCCGTAATTTCAGGTACAAATATTACGGGAGTCACTTGGCTAGTCCCCGAAATTGTAATAGAACTAAAATAAGGGAAATTGCAATAAAATTATGGCCTAAACCTAACCTGGTACACACACTACGGTCCGGTGTCTTAATTTACCTACTTCGGGAGTATTAGCGGATATGTATGCACGGACTTGAAACCAATGTGCGCGATCTGTAATACTGTTCGAAGTAATCAGCCTCGTCAAGATCTTCCAAGCGTGACGGCTATTAATCAAGTAAGATCTTAATTATTCTCGATCCTCGTTAGTCAAAACGGGTAGGGAAGGACAGTGACTCGGCAACCCACAGAGAATTTAAGGTGAGGTGGAGGCATCATCATGGGCCCGAGTCAGCATTTCTGTCTCTACGATGGCAGTCGGTACAGATCATTTACATACAGTCTCTGCCTCGTCGCCAAGGTGAGTCGGTACAATCCAGATTTTTTTTTTGTGATAATCATATCTAGCGAGGAACAAAAGGGAGGGAGGTCGGCTATGATCATCAGAAGCTTGAAAACTACCGCGTGGCATATTTCGACCACTTTTATGCTAGCGGTTATGATGATTTAAAATTTATCTTTGGGTCCATATATTTGTGATTTTGGGTCGGGCTTCAGATCTTAGCTTTAGTGTGAAGTCATCAGTGGCCCCAAGGTTGCAATTTGGAATCGGTCTCATAACATCGTTTGCACTGCATAGACTTATCCAAATGATGCCTACGACAAGAACCATCGGATCTTTTGCACAGAGCCCCCGCCACTGCTCAAAATGAAAAATAGTAATTAAACAGTCAGGGCTAGGAATGCAGTTTGCTTCGAAAAATCAAATCTTTACGAAATCTAATTGTATAGTTACTAATTTGTTAATCAAAACGTTGCGCGAGTTTTTTCTCAAATCTTACATTTTTGCATTAGTGGCAAGAGCTTTGAACAAAAGGCAATATGGCCTGAATTTTGCACCATTCCTTCCCCCGTTTAGGCATCTTAATTGTATTGTACAGTGAAGCAATTTATTATGCGATTAGAGAATGGCTCAAAAATATGATTAATATTGCCGAAAAAGAAAACGCTGGGTCATAGATATTGTCACAGATAAGGTTTCGCCACTGTGATAGTTAGGTCAGAAGACCAAGATTCCGGATTGGTTGACATAATCGAAAAGCAGTCAACCACCAGTCCAACGGG